CTCTGATACTTCCCGAGAAATAGCGATAACAAACTTTCAATATCAAAATCCAAGATGACTGCCTGTCGGCCATGTTGGTTATCCCCTGCACAGCTCAGGACCAAGGGGAACCTGCATGTAAAATTTGAGAAAGATCCATCTCGTACTTCTTGAGAAATAGTGATAACAAACTTTAAATATCAAAATCCAAGTTGGCTGCCTGTCGGCCATATTTTTTATCCGATCAGTCTCAAAAGTTGCCTGCACAGCTAAGGACCAAGGGGAACCTGCATGTAAAATTTGAGAAAGATCCATCTCGTACTTCTTGAGAAATACCGATAACAAGAAATGTTTACGGACGGACGACGGACGACGGACAACGGACGGACGACGGACGCAGGGTGATTTGAATAGCCCACCATCAGATGATGGTGGGCTAAAAATGTGCACTGCTGGTCTACATAACATACCCAAGTAGCATGACTCTTGTCCAAATGGTTCTTGGGATACTGTTGTTTGAAGTTTTTAACATATTTGACCAGTGACCTTGAAAGTAGGTCAAGGTCATCTTCATTAGGAAACTGTATAGCACTCCATCCCAGGTACCTACTGGCCAAATATCATGACCCTAGGTCCTCCAGTTCTTCAGAAGAAATTCAAAAGAAAAAGTAGACAGACGGACGACGGACAACAAACGCAGCAGTTTGGCATAAGCTCACATGGCCCTTTGGGCCAGGTGAGCTAAAAACAACACAAAGGCAAAATGTACTTTTTGAAAAGTTTTACTCCAAGATGGAATGACAAAAGAAAAAAAAACACAATTGGCACTTGCACCATAAGTTATGATTATATATTTATCTCTTATGTACTAACTGGTCTAATTACCTCACACAAAACAGAACCAATGATTGCTGCTGCCTCATTATATGGATTAGTGTTGTCCGACACTTCTACACACAGTAAGGTCAATAACAAGGTCACCTCACCTGTAGGTAACGTCTCCAGAAATATTGAACACATACATCTATATATTACTGAAAATTACTTCTATTCTGCAAAATCTACATTGTTTTATAAATCTGATTTCTGTTATTCCCATACCAGGAACACATGTAGGTATTAGGGCCTGAACTATATCCCCACCATAGTTTAGTACAATTTATACTGGACAAGATTTTAGAGACTCTAATCCCAATTGTGCACTAGATAAGTGAACTATTCTATTACTGATTAATTAATGAATGATAAAAAAGTCCTTTTAATTACAGGTAAAACTTCCAGTTCAAGTAATTAAAGACGTAACTTTTAAGACAACTGAGATGTATTTACTTCAAAACAAGATGAATTTCTCAAGAATATATGCTCAGTGTCATTGAAGACCCACCTGATAAATGATTACAAAACACCTGTTGAACTGAACTGTAGAACTTAATTATAAAGGCATGACTTCAATATAGGATACTTAGATAAAACAATGGACCACTTAAAGACAGAAGTTTGTCTTTTGCCAAAAAAGAACCTTTTCTACAGGTTTACTACCAAAAGAGGCCAACAAGATGCCTCCAAAAAGAATGTATAGTAAACATTGAAGAAAAAGGGGCAATGACAACACTACAAACTCTTAATATTATCAGATCATGATGTAGGATGTTTCTGTATTGGCCATAAGCCTGGGGGCGGGGACAGTAATATGTCTGGTGAGGAGGGCTGTAAGCCTGGGGGCGGGGAGAGTAATATGTCTGGTGAGGGGGGCTGTAAGCCTGGGGGCGGGGAGNTCTTTTGCCAAAAAAGGACCTTTTCTACAGGTTTACTACCAAAAGAGGCCAACAAGATGCCTCCAAAAAGAATGTATAGTAAACATTGAAGAAAAAGGGGCAATGACAACACTACAAACTCTTAATACTATAAGATCATGATGTAGGATGTTTCTGTATTGGCCATAAGCCTGGGGGCAGGGACAGTAATATGTCTGGTGAGGAGGGCTGTAAGCCTGGGGGCGGGGACAGTAATGTCTGGTGAGGAGGGCTGTAAGCCTGGGGGCGGGGACAGTAATGTGTCTTTTGAGGAGGGCTGTAAGCCTGGGGGCAGGGACAGTAATATGTCTGGTGAGGAGGGCTGTGATAGGCCTGTGGGCGGGGACAGTAATATGTCTGGTGAGGAGGGCTGTGATAGGCCTGGGGGCGGGGACAGTAATATGTCGGGTGAGGAGGGCTGTGATAGGCCTGGGGCGGGGACTGTAATATGTCTGGTGAGGAAGGCTGTGATAGGCCTGGGGGCGGAGACTGTAACATGTCTGGTGAGGAGGGCGTGTGACTAGCTTGGATAGGGATTGGGCAGTGATAAGCCTATGGAAAGGGCAGTGATAAGCCTATGGAAAGGGCAGTGATAAATAAGCATGGCAAAGTAAGGGACTGGAGCACAGAAAAGGGTAGAATGGGTAAAAGGTATACAGCATGTGTTGCAATATTTTATACTTCCCATATATATGCAAAAGTAGCTTACAATCTGACAAGAAGAGGTCTGGTGGCTACTAATCTTGAGCCTATTACTGTTTTTAATATGTATGGTATGTGAACTCCTAATATCAGACTATCACTGGATATGTATGGTGTGTGAACTCCTAATATGGGCTTATCACTGGTTATGTATGGTGTGTTAACTCCTAATATGGGCTTATCACTGGTTATGTATGGCATGTGAACTCACGTTATGGTGGCACCTGTTTTTTCATGTTAGTCTGGAAAATTTGAATCAAATCCTACAAAATACGAGTGTTTCACAAGATGAACATATAACAAACTATCAAGGACAAACACAACATCACGACCTACTTTTAGCAATGAAAACATTTCATTGATTTGCATCTACTCATATATATATATATATATATTATTTATAAACGATGTACACAAAAAATCAACAGACTTTATATTCATTCATAAAGGAGGTACAATAAAAAATGATTTTTGTCATAATTTGATTACTAATATGTCAATTACACAACATTAACGGCATTGTCCCTCCTTACGTGACCTTAGTGAGACGGTTTGATCAGAATCTAAAATAACGATGATAATTATGACATAAAGTGCTCTATTATAGCCATTTATATTAGTATGATGTAGAAATAATGACAACATGTCACATTTTGATTTTTTTTTTAACAAGATGATTTTCCTTCATAATCTAAACTTTTGCTCAATCTTTTTTCATCAGTGAATGAACATGAATTATGTTACATGGAATAAAAAAAAGTGTGAAAATTAAATTAAAACTTGAGTCATATTGTAATGAGTTATATGTATGTCCACTATTCACTGATTGGTGCAATGATCGAAGATAAATCTGACATTGTGTGGCAGTGACCAAAACAACTTGTCCAAAGCACATCATCTCTTCCACCCCTGAAGACACATTTGAACTCTTCCAATTCAAAGGATGGAATATTTCATTATAAAGTTTCAGAGGTGAATGAGTTTAAAGTGGGTTTTTTTCAACATTACACAATATACCTTTCTATCATTCAAATGATTTTAAAATTATGTCGTTATCATTAGATCATTATGCATTATACTGCACAAAAAAACACCTTAAAAGTTGAGAACTTTGTCTAAAGACCCCTTTGTAAACATGAATAAAACAGCATTACTGTATGTATGGAGAATAATAAAGATTAATAAGGTATTTTTTTTAATTTTGAAAAGGAAAAAATGTTTCAAGAAAGAAAAAATCATTTGCACAGATTCAAAAAGAAGTTTGGATAACTTGGATATTGTCACAAAACATGAAGTCAACCAACATTTCAAAATTTAAATCGGGATGACTATGTGACAAAAAAAACAAGAACTAGAATTTGGGGTTGGGGGAATGCATTTCAAACCAGTGGGTGGTTTGTCCTCATTTAAATAGGGTAGCTAGGGTAATCCTAATTTCATCAATCTAAGATCAGGAATGCATCTATAGCTATAGAAAGTACATCAATAAGCATATCTGTCATTCTCCTATTACAACCACATATAACGAGTAACACCAATAATTTATACCAAACATTACTGTGGTATATACACATATTTCATGCTTTCAATACAGCTGTGTTTACATCACAAAATCTTCAAAAACATCTGAAAAGTCTAGAATTTCAGATATACTGGAAATTCAGTGTGAATACAAGCACAGTTTTAAACAGTCTTTTATGTCTTAATTGAAATGTTCTTTTAAAACATTTTGAAACTTCTTTTCACTGAAGGTGTCAGCTTCTTGAATTGCTGACCAGTGAATGGCAGCTTCTTGAATTGCTGACCAGTGAGAGACAATTTCCTCAGACTATGTAGCTTAAATGATGCTACTTTTCCATCAAATCCTAATAAATATTTGGCTACTATTCCACACCTATCACAAAATATGCTAATACAAAAACATCAAATCAGGAACAAAAACATACATAGTACTACAAATACATACAATGTACTACCTATACATACAGTGTACTACATATACATACAGTGTACTACATATACATATAGTGTACTACATGTATATGTAGTACACTATATATATATATGTAGTACACTGTGTGTATATGTAGTACCCTGTGTGTATGTATATGTAGTACACTATATGTTTATATAGTACACTATATGTATATGTAGTACACTGTGCGTATGTATATGTAGTACACTATATATATATGTAGTACACTGTGTGTATATGTAGTAAAATGTATGTATATGTAGTACACTGTATGTATGGGTAGTACATTGTATGTATTTGTAGTACTACCTATACATACAGTGTACTACATATACATACACACAGTGTACTACATATACACACAGTCTACTACATATATATATAGTGTACTACATATACATACACACAGTGTACTACATATACACACAGTGTACTACATATATATATAGTGTACTACATATACATATAGTGTACTACATATACATACAGTGTATTACATGTACATACAGTGTACTAAATACACATACATTTTCATACGTGTACATACCCTTTACAATGTTCTACATATAAATTCGTTTATTTGATTTTAGCACTTATATTGTTATATCTTTTAACACCAAGCCCGATTTACAGCCAGGGCCAACTACTTACTTCCCCTGTGTTAGCATTTCTATAGATTATTCATGCTGTAACTTGTAAGTTGTACTTTAGAATTAACTCACTTAAAAGGATATAAATTAATACCATTATAATTTGAAAGTTGATGAACAAGTTTGACATGCAGTTTACATGAGGTGTTTTTTACTATGAAATAGTACCAAAAAATATCAACCAAGGAATTGGAGTGATGACACCTTTAGCACTTCTAAAAGTGGACATGTATATACATTATAACATAGTTACCATCAAAGTAACAAAATGGAGAAATCAAACATACAGGTTCTGTTTTAAATTACCGGTAAACACATTTACCAAACAAAAATTGTCCTCCCCATTAGATTATTAAAATATTCTGTATATTATACTGATTTACAAATCATCTCATTTCAATTACATACATTAAACCACAAATGTTATATAAACAGTGATTTTTTTCCTCCAATTTCACCCCTTTATAACAATTTCCCTCTTAGATATGAAAAGTGTCAACATTTCTGCTACAAGAACTACAGTGTACCTACTGCATGAACTGGTATATCATATATCCACCTCATACATAACACCCCATAAATTAACAAAACAAAACAACGAAAAAAGATCTTGGCACTCTTTAACAGATCTACATATCTAATTGATATTTAACTAATTCATCCCTGAAGACACATCTAAACTCTTCCACTTCAAAGGTTGAAATATAGTTCATTATGAAATTTCAGGGGTGAATGAGTTAAACTCACAACAATATATACTGTATCAGCATTATACAACAATAACCAGCTTCACAGAAATCATCAAATTTCAGTTGCATTACACTCTATCTTATATAAATGGAATAAAATCTCCTCATTTTAATTCAAATTTCAGGTGCATTACCCTCTATCTTATATAAATGGAATAAAAAAGCCTTCTCATTTTAATTCTATCTACATCACATTCTATTTTTTGCTAAACTTGTACTTTAAATAAATATATGACTCTTTATTACTGTACTAATTTTCAATAAACAACTATAAAAGTGATACCCCCAAGACTTACTGTTCTTTTCAAATTCTTCTAAAGATTATAAAAATATGGCCTAAAATTGAAAAAAAAAGTTTTTTAAGTTTGATCTGATCTATTTGTTTCACCACAAAATTAACAATTTTCCTGATCAGCGCTATCAATCAAATAGGCAACACTGAACAACATTGAAAATTGTGTTCCCCGTCCCGGGTACTAAAATGTATAAGTACAAGCACCTGCTTCCTGTGTTCTTTGTAGACTATTTACATGTAGGTAAGATGTGGCAAATCTCAGTCATGTATATATATATGTTCAATTGCAAAACCCTTGATGGCACACACAAAATCCTTCTTGGAGTAGTTGTATATTTGCAATGTTTCTCACACAAATAAAATGCACATTTATTTGATATGATTTAAGGATCCCTGTCCAAATGGTTTTTCCTTCATACAGTAACATTCCTTTAACTTCCATTTAGATATCACAGCTGTAGCACAATCAAGCCAGGACACCTCCATTGACCAGGTAGCTCAATCGATATACCATAACAATCTGAACTCCAGAGTTCGAATCTTAGTTTATCCATGCTGATGTTTTTAAACTAAGAACAATATTGTTGATTATGTTTTGCTTATTACATCTTATTATTTCTCATAAAAGTCCCGCAAGGTATGGGGTTTTTTCCCCAGAAATGTTTATCAAAGATATATATCTTCCGGAAAAAAGAGTTTCCAATGCTTAGTTACAGTTTCTGTAGTGGCATAGGGATCCTTAAAGCATTCTGATTCTCAATCTACAAACTATGAAACAACCTTTCAGCGTAAAAAAATAAAACAGGTGTTTCAAGTATTTCTGAGTAAATTATGCATTTCTCACAAGCTCATTTGTTTAACAAAATAGTGAATTATGACAAAAACACATGATGAGATCTTCCGCAATGCTGTCAGACAAATGTATGTACAATGTTAAATATATACTACACAATAAATGAAACCAAACAGTCTTTACTGTAAAACAAATCACATATAGCAGGGAAGTCTTCGTCTTCATGAATCATCTTAACGCTCTCACCACTATGGACCATAATGGACTCATCCAGATCAATGCATGGTAGAGTTTACTTAAGTTACATCGGGGTGAAAGGGTTAACAAGGATAATATTCTTATCCTTATCAAAGGAATCATTCTCATTTGGAAAAGAATCTCTATTTCAGTTATGAAACGTTCATGAAACCGCCCCAGGGCCTCATATGAATTTTCACAGCATTACACAAATAAATTTTACATTAAAAGCCTTAGGATAAATTGGACATCAGATTTAATAGAGATAAGTGAGGAATCCTTGAAAAAAAACAATAACATTTATTCGATGACATGATCTTATTTGTTCATAATGCTGGAAACCTGTGATACGCAGTGAAAAGTAACTTATTGCACATACCATGGCAAGCACCTGCTATGTGCAACCTCTGGACCGATAGCTACCCACACAAAACACAAGAGAAAGTCAATGAGCATGAGTGTAGTATACTGCTGACGATTCTTCTTTACTTCTATTATTTTACAAAAGAAACAAAACATATTATTAATTTCAGCAACATTTCCTTCATAATTTTATCCATAATATAAAGAACAGAAATTTGACCCATTACAAGAACTTATTCTGATTATGATTTTCATTGGGAAAAAAAATACAAAAAATTGTATTAAAGAAATTAAACATTAAATATAAAGCGCAGAAAAAATTAAAATCAGACTTATAACAAGAAATCCTTGATATCTGTGTATCATTTCATAACCATTTAACCCTATATCTGTATATAATCATCAATCAGTCAACACATAATCTATATTTTACATAAATCTATATTAAATATATTTTGTTTTTAAAACACTAACATTTAATCCTTTACACTACTGTACAAATAAACATGCTAAATTTCATTTAAATCAATAGCAATGTAGACTCTGTCTGTTATATATAAATTCTGCTGTAGGTATCCCTAACACCAGCTTTCACTAATCTCTCTCCAGGAAGAATATATTTGCCCTATTGTATATACATTAACCCTTTCACCCCTAGACAACTTTAGTAGACTCTACCATGCATTGATCTGGATGAGTCCATTATGGTCTACAGTGGTGAAAGGGTTGTGTGGTTTTCACCTAAAATCTGAAGTACCTAAAGAGCAAATCATTTGTTTAAATTCATTGATACATATATACATAATAGAAACCAAATAAAATCATCCATTAAGTGGGACTGAGGCTTAGCCATTGGATTTCTATTTCCTGCAAAGGACACTACATGTATTAATACACCATGAGCATCATCATTTATGATATAGTCTTGAGTAAAGAAAAGACGATTTTATTTAGAGTACAAAAGGAAGTAGGGTACCAAGCTGTTGTCTGTCGAGTAAGTAACGACACAGGCAACAAAGCTATTTCCTTTTGAGTAACAGTGCAGGGCACCTAGTTATTTTTGTCAGACATTCATTAGTTCACTTTTACACATGTGCAGCTACACATATTCATCAAAGACTAGGGGCACACTTATGATCCAGCATTTCCTGTGAGAACAGCTACCGTAAGATGTCTCAGACAAACAAATCAGTTCATCAATACTAACCACATCACAGAACACAAAGTAATCTCAAATTGATTGAACACCATGGTAGTCTCCCCTGCATGTTAGTGATCTGAAGAAATCCAAGTTGTATGGTATTTAGTTGATTTTGGCATACTGGTAAAAAATATACAATAACCTTCATTTCCCACTTAAAACAATAATAATATTTCGTTGTGGGTGACTTTTCAGTTAAAAGTCACATAAAAGTAATCATAACTTCAGCATGCCTTGATCCAGTACTGTAATATTGTTGAAAAATAATCTTGAGCTTCAACGCGAGATCACTTAGCATACTGGTCATAGAAAGCTATCTTGACTTTTTCGATCTGATGGCAAAGCTTGATGGCAGGTCCAAGTTTGAGCTCCAGATGTTCCTGCACAGTTGGCAAGGTTAGTAGCAGCAGTGCTTGGCCGTCAATCTCCTGTGGATGGGAAAAAAACATGTTAGTTGTTAGAATATACTTACAGGAGACAGGACAAACCGGAGTCAGTGGTATATTAAAATAGACACATCTTGTGCTTAATGCAGAGCATCACATTTAATGGTGCTCGTCCTTTTTATCTGTTTATACACACACCATTAGAGTGTGATATATAAAATCTGTACACACCTCACAAGTGTAGATATATCACTGAGTTTTGAGGGGAGATCACTTCAAAAACCTCTGGACAATTATTTATGGAATATTGGCTGGTATGTTTTGCTGTTTAGTTTTTGAGATGTGTGAAACAAAAATGGAAGATCTCCAAGAAGTTTCAGATCACAACCCCTCCCAGTTTTCACAGGACATGCCAGGAATGAAATCAGATCAAAAACCTACATGAACAAGTATCTGCGATACCTCAAACAAGAGGCCCCAAGGACCTGTATCGCTCACCTGAATACTTAGTAGTCGTAGCAAAATATTCTCATTAAATATCATACTGTACCACAAATATTTCACTGGCAAACTTTGTCAGCTCCATCTATTGAAACTACTAGCAAAATATTATTGTATGATTCTATGCTTTTTGGTTCTTCTTCAGAAGTTGTTTGACATATTTTTTCCCTGTGACCTTGTAAGTAGGTCAAGGTCATTTTCCTTCTCAAACTTTGTTGGCTCTATCCAAAGAAGCTACCAGCCAAATCTTCTTAATCCATTCCTTTTGGTTCTTCAGAACAAATCTTTTGAAATGTTGTTGACCTCTGTGAACTTTAAAGTAGGTTGAGGTCATTTTCGTTTGCAAACTTTGGTGATCTCTATCCCAAGAAGCCACCAGCCAAATATGATGATTCTATGCCTTTCGATTATTCATAAGAAGTCATTTGACCACTGAGACCTTGAAAGTAGGTCAATGTCATTTTCATTCTCAAACTTTGTCTGGCTCTAACCCAGGAAGCCACCAGCTAAATATGAAGATTCTATACCTTTCAGTTCTTCAGAAGAATTTGTTTGAAGAGTTTGATATATTTGACCGCGGTGACCTTGAAAGTTCCATAATCATGTGTTATAATATACATCTTTAATTCATTCATGAATACAAAACTCTTTATAAAACAAGAGGCCCAATGGCCTTAGCGGCCACCTAATAATATCATAGGTACTGGTAGCTATATTTTATTGTTTAGATGTGATGTGGAAATCAGCATGTAAACTAAGTGAAATACTTGACATGTCATCAAAGGATAAGAAATTTAAAATATTGGTAAATGTTCCCTGGGATGGGGCAGGAATTCCAATTTTACAATGTTATACCCTCATCCACCAAGGATGATTCTCACCAAGGCAGAATAATTTTCTGCTGAAAATGGATAAAAATATACCCAAAAGTGTTATTTCCCTATATAAACTTAGTAAACTTAACCCCCTCCCCAAGGGGGAACGGATGGCCCAGAGTACTGAAATTTACAATTTCAATAAAGCTCCTGATGATCTTTCTAAACATGCACTTAAATTGACTGTAGTACCTCTGAGTCTGGAGAAGAAGATTTTTGAATTATTGGTAAATTTTCCCTTTGGGGCCCCGCCCTGGCCCCTAGGGTTGGGATAGGAATCCCAATTTTTACATTTTAAAACCATTATCCTCCAAGGATAATTCTCACCAAGTAAGAATAATTTCCTACAGAAAATTGTAAAAATATACACAAAAGTGTTGTTTCCCTATATAAACTATAGTAAACTTTAACCCCTCCCACAGTGAGAAGGGATGGCCGGGGGGTCCTGAAATTTACAATTTAAATGAAGCCCCTGATGATCTTTCTTTTCATGCAGAGCAAATGACTGTAGTACCTCGGAGTCTGGAGAAGAAGATATTTGAAATATTGGTTAATTTTCCCTTTGGGGACCCACCCTGGCCCCAGGGATTGGGGTAGGAATCCCAATTTTACAATTTTGTAGCCTCATCTACCAAGGATGATTCTGACCAAATTTGGTTCTTGAGAAGAAGTTGAAAATGTAACAAGTTTACGCACGACGGACGGAAAGTGATCGGAATAGGTCACTTGAGTAAAAGCTCAATAAAAACAATACAGAATCACAGTACTTAGTAAAGAGTACATGTCACTACATGCTATTTACTTTTGTGCCCTATTCAGAAACAAAGTTATTTGTAGTATTTAAACTTGTGTTTATGTTGTTTAGCATCCATTTAGCTAACTTGCTTATGTCAGAGACAAAAACTGACATACATTTTTTTTTGAGATGGAGACAAAATTAGGGAGAGGGCTTAATTGCAGGCACCCACCCTGTTCCCAGGACATTAACCAAAGTGGGGAGGGGGCTTATTTGCGAGAGGGGGCTTATTTGCGGTAAAACATGGTAAGTTAAAGTCATTATCATTCTCAAACTTTGTCTGGCTCTATCCCAGGAAGCCACCAGCCAAATATGAAGATTCTATACCTATCATTTCTTCAGAAGAAGTCGTTTGAAGTGTTTGACACATTTGACCCCTGTGACCTTGAAAGTAGGTCAAGGTCATTTTCGTTCACAAACTTTGTCGGGCTCTTACCAACGAAGCTTTCAGCCAAGAATCATGACTCTAGGCCTGTATGTTCTTCAGAAGATGTTGTTTAAAGGAAAAGTTGACGCACCATGACATAAGCTCACTTGCCCTTCGGGCAGGTGAGCTAACAATTCATCTAATGGAATTAGCAGATGGTCATATACAATCAAGGCTAACTCTGTAATACATTTGTTGAATTGTTGAGCAACAACAATTTATATTCAGTGTTACAACAAACCTTTTATTGTATGTCTTAAAGTTTAAATAGTAAGTGCATTAACATATTTCACAAAGATTTAACCTGTAACAGTAAACAGGGTAAAGAATATTTGAAACCAATATTGAAATTCATAATTAATAATCAGAATATATGAAAACCCAAAATAAATATACCTGATCTTTGAAAAGTCGACAGAGATGAGCACAGTCAGTGGTTTTTATGAATTTGACCACCTCTGAAACAGTCCAATTCAGCGGGTTGGACTCCAAACGTAGGATTTCTTTGGGTTCCTTCTTTTCTTCCTTGATCGCTTTACTATGGGAATGCATCAACTAGACATGGAAAGAGAGAGTGACAAGGATAGAAAAGTGACCAGTCTATCAGATATCTTAGTTGCACTTCTATAGGTTAGGTAAGTAGTTTTAGCAATCACTAGGAACTGTCAACCAAAATTTTCAAAACAGTAATTTGTCAAAAAAAAAATCGCTTTTAACATCTTTTCGATTTTCTTTAAGCTGTGGAAGTTGATGAATTCCTAAAACCCGATCTTACTTTTAATAAATAAACTAATTGATTTAGCTGTCATAAATAAATGAATTCCTCCGTTACCTTAGAACTTTGGCCCTTGCCGTGATTTAGGGATTTTACTGGTGATGATCCTGGAGTGATGAGAATCTTCTTATGAGTTCGTCGCTCAAAACTATATTTTGGCATTTTAGCACCTCGGGTTTTAATCTCTGATGGTGGGGGTAGATGATGAGTATATTTTCTCTTGTTACTGTACTTTCCTGATTTGCGTTTGATTATTTTCTCAGTTGAGTCATTTGTACCACTGCTATCAACAGTGCGTGTGTCACTAGCTATGCTATCTTTGTCATCGTCGCCATTCTCCTCCTCTTTCTCCAAAGTCGGCAGCATACCTAGTGGAGCCTCATTCAAATGCAACAGCCTGATCTTTCTCCTTCTGCCACGTTTTCCGGGTTTTTTGGGTCCATGTTCTAAGTTTGTATGACCACCAGGTGGTCGGCCCAGCTTCTTCTTCTTCTTTCCGTAGTAGTAAGCTACAACATAAATATCAACATTATTATAATACATGTGAGCTCAGTATCTGCTGTGACCACTGGGAAAGGAACCCAAGACCTTTGCATTGGTACATTTACCCTTCCTGTAATTGTAAGATACACCTGAAAGTTATCTTGATTTTTAACCCTAGTATCGAAATGTAGTAGTTAAGAATTGTGTTGATATCTATAGTCTTGGAACTCATTTCTGGATTGGTTATTTTTGTCAAATATAATGTCATCTGTTGTGATTTCTGTGTCAATATATTTTCAGTAATGGGTACCTCAAGTATGTTACCTAAGACCCCGGGATCATGAAACAATATTAGACTTCAGTTTTTGCTTAGCCAATCACGTATGGGGTCTTTTTCATGACATTATTTGTGATTGGCTAAGTCAAAGCTTGAGACAGATTTAAACTTAAGATCGTTTCATAATACCTGGGGCCTGGTCAGTAATTAGTTTGACCACTGGGTTTCACCCCAGGTGTAAAATGATGGGAGCTCTATTTATCTTACTGAATCATCAACAAACAAATAGCTCTGGGACACAGCATCCTGTAACTGCTATTTTTTAAATTTCATTTGGTCATAAGGTATCAGTATGACGTCGACAATTGTGAGTTAAGTTAATTTGAATAATTCTAATAGCTTACTGTATTTGGTCTTGGTGAGTTGTGCACATGATTCAGGACAGCTGCCATTGACGAAGTTTGGACTGATGAGGTTTGGACAGCACTCCAGTTTGATACAGACGGAGCGACAGAACTCGTCCAGCTGGTCTGTGGTCCGACAGATCTCCACCATAGCCCGGTAACTCTTTCCCTTATATCTGTCATAGAATCACAGTATGTTTACTACCTAGTATCAAATGCACATCATAACCTTTCTTTAGAAAAAGTCTTGTTCATTTTAGTACAATATTTAACATAAACAGGATACAGATCAAGTTTTATTTATGGACATGTGGGGCCTGTTCGTTTATGCGGGACAGCCGGTACATCCCTTTGTAATTATAAGTGTAACATTTTCGGGTATAAATTCTGGCAACAGTTTGTGCAGGCCTTGCAAGGCTTACCTGAAAGCAGCATCAGATTACTGGGTCTGTTCTTATTTCATATACGAACAACTATGGTCCAACCAGTTCAACCGTTTGGACCGGGATAAACGAAAACAACCAAGATGAACCAAGATTATCCAATTATTCTGAACAAGGCCTACAGGAATTTGAACCAAGCAATAGTATTCAATTTTGTTCAATTGGGTGTTTTTCTTGGCAAAAGAGGTAAAAAAATATGGGATTTCAATTTAAGGTACAATGAATTCAATATTACAGTCAATATGAGTTTTAGAGTACAGGATGCTGTAAACTTGTCTAGAGCTGTATAGTATTAGGATCAAAGTTTGTCCTAGATTAATGATAGTTTGGTTCATAAGAGTCTTTGATTTTGGATATTGACATTTTAATCAACATTCAAATTAATATACTTTGATATGCAGCATTGATGAACAACAGAAAATATAGAAAATATTCATTTTTAAAACTTGAATTTACAATAAAAGACTGCATACTTCATGCCCGTAAAAAAATTGTTGGGAGTCGGACAAAGAAGAATTTTTCATAATGATAGGTTGGAATGAATGGTGTTGCAACAATAATCCATACATGACAGGGGCATGCTTAGAATGTTGTACTATTAAGTCAATATCTGGTATAATTTACTCACTTGGCTTTGAGTGATTGCTGCATCATGTTGGGGTTGATTTTACCCTCGACTTGGAGCTCTCTTAGAACCCGACAAGACTTGTAGGCAACGTTGATCAGCATGGAGAGGACCTCCTTCATCACTAGGGAGATGGGGCCGGGGCCGACACACTTGGGGAGCAGGGCTATGCGGCCCTTACTGAGGTAGGGGCCAGAGAAACACTGATGGTTGTAATAGATCTTAGGACACCACGCATTTCCTGTCAACAGACCACCAACTGTAAAACCAATTCAGAAATAGCAATATAGATCAAATTAAAATGATTATTTTCGGTTTTGTTTTAGTCAATCAAGAAACAGACCAAAAACACAGGACATTAGCTCTGTATAAAATAACTACAAACACAACAGTTTAACCTATCCTTAATTCCTCACCGCTCTGTATAAAATAACTACAAACACAACAGTTTAACCTATCCTTAATTCCTCACCTGCACTGTCTCCATTCTTTAACTGTGTGTAAGCTTCATCTGTGAGATTGTCTGGAAGTCTGTCAAAATTGAAGAAATGTTTAGTTTACCAAGAGACACAATTATTAAAAGTTAAGCAAAGGCTGGTTCAAATAATGAACAATATTTGATATAATTACTGATTGAGATAAAAGTATTCAAGAGTTTTTGGACTTCATCATAATAATGGGTGCTTGATTCCACTAGCTTGATGTCTGAAGCCAAAATATTTTATGTCAGGGATAGTGAAGTTTTCCATATAATTCAGAGTCAGGCTAGTTTTTATTTTTATTTTTCATCCCTGAAAATATTACATGAAAAATAATTTGAAGAAAAGGAAAATTTAGGAGAGACTGTCTGGAAGTCTACTTACAAACAGAAAATTTAAATTTCCAATGTAATAGACAAGGACATTAAATGAATTTGCAATGAAACATATTTCTTTAGTATATATGCACCATTTTCAGAATATTGAAATAGTTTCAAAGTTTGAATTACCCTGGGGGAACCACAGCCACTCGTTTCTGTGGACGACCTTTCAGTCCGGTTTTCCTGGGAGGCTTCAGTTGGTAGCCGTTACTCTCACACCAGCCGACTGGAAACAGGTTGTGTGAATCAACGTGTTCAATGTGGCTGGCAACCACACGGGCACTGTTGTCAAGGTGAATCCAAACCAGTGGCTCCACTATCTTTGTGATGGTTGCAGCACATATCTGATTCGGGTTTTCAGAATTGACAGCCTCCAGCTTCATGCCTCGTTCAAATTGGTGATCTGGTTTGTCCTGTGGAGAGTAAGAGTTCACGTAAGGACCTTTAGAGAGTTCAGTTGACTGTATGTAGATCAGATATGTTTATGTGGTAGGCTAATCCAAATTGCTTTTGTATCACTTTCCCTTCTCTACCTTAGAAAGGTGTCTGAGAAATAGCCTTTCATCTCTCCCATTAAATCAATTTTGGAGGAACTATTAAAAACAATTAAGGAAATTTTACAGAGAAGGATTAAAAGCATTATGTGATGTTCTATATTTTGTTTCTTTTTACTATGGAAACAAGATTGTTTGTTTTTTTAATATGAAAACGAAACAATAAATCCAGAAAATATTTACTAAATTAAAACAGGATTCTGGTGCAGCCTTTGCTCGATTGTATTCCAGATACTCATTCCAGTTGAAATCCATCTTAGGCCAGCCTGTAATTGAAAAAAAGGTTTCAAGTTCAACTGATATGTTGACATGATTACACTTATAAGAAACCATCATCATAATTAATTTCATGATAATGAAAGTGAATGAAGGTTCAATTTACAGATTTGAAGTAGACAATGAAATGAAAACAACAATTTACAGATTTGAAGTAGACAATGAAATGAAAACAACAATTTACAGATTTGAAGTAGACAATGAAATGAAAACAACAATTTACAGATTTGAAGTAGACAATGAAATGAAAACAACAATTTACAGATTTGAAGTAGACAATGAAATGAAAACAACAATTTACAGATTTGAAGTAGACAATGAAATGAAAACAACAATTTACAGATTTGAAGTAGACAATGAAATGAAAACAACAATTTACGAAACAACAATCTATCTAAAGAACAATAATTAATTTGGCACGATAATAAAGCTTCAACGAACAAATGATTCATCATTTAAAAAACTAAATCCTCACAAATTTTAATTAGATATAAAGGTCTGCTCCATTTGTTCTGTTACAGCATACATACCTTTAGGTGGAGTTAATTTAAGCCCCTTGTAGTGACACCAATTAGCAGGGAAGATACACTTGGAATCGGAGTAACATGAGAATCGTATGCGGAAATGTGGATCTACAGACTGCAGGTCATCTAGTTCAACCAGGAAGTACTTTTTGTCGAGGATGTCTACGACTGTAGCGGGACAGATCTGGTTACGTGTGATGGGATTCAAAGCTTCAAGCTTCCAACCCTTCTGGAAAGTGTGATGGACAATTTCTACCTGGTCCTGAAATCAAAATATAACGATATTCTATCAAGGCAAACATCTATGGTAGACATTAGATATAAAGTAGGACCTTGGTAATCTGGACACTTTTGTTCTAGGTACAATATCTAGAACAGTGAAGAGATTTTGGAGTGAATTCTTCATGTCAGCCCCATTTTCAACACAAAGAAATTGATTTTGATCAAACAATATATTCCACAATACATGTCTTTGCAAAGCCAACAGTCATTCACTCAATTTCCATCAGTTATATGGGATTTTACTCAACTTAAAAAATTGGACAATAAGCCATGAGAGTACCTTTCCAAAATATAGGTAACCCCTTCCCCAGATAGATGGAGCTATAAATAGACATTGTATGTCACATCAGGAATTATATGTAAAAGTAATTTAACAAAGGTTTGGTTTAATTTTGTTTAACGTCCTATTAACAGCGAAGGTCATTTAAGGACGCGCCTCCATGTGTTTAAGTGTATGCGTGCTTGCTTGTGTGTATGCAGGAGACAGGGTATGTTAGTGTGCTTGCCTCCTTGTGATAGGGCGGATCTGATGCTGACTTTATGTGCTATCTCACTGAAATACCATGCCGAAGGCACACAGCACAGCTTTTCGTCCGGTCACATTATACTGATAACATAACAAAAGATCTGAAGATGCAATTGTTGTTGCATTGAAGATTGCCATTTACCTTAAATATGGCCAATGGTAGGATCATATTCTCTGATTCCTGCAAGGCTTTCTCCAGAATCTGCATCCATTCCTGCTCGGAGTGCTCACTGAAGAGTTCTGAAAAAGAAGAAAAGTTCTGTATGTAATATGAAAATATGCATATGGTACATTGATTTTTTTTTTAAAGATTTGTGGATCATACTATTTATACTAGTTATCATATGATTGAAAGTGCTAGTCATTAGAATATTAATGAGAATGTATACAAGAAATATTGAATGTTTCTAATTGCTCTCCGACTTGCCATCTCAGAGTATGTGCTGATACGCATATCTTTTCCATTATACAACATCAGATGAGATGAAATTACTTATCAAGAGGATTTACAAATAAAATGTTTACCATTACTGTACTAATCAGGTTTCTAACTTGTGATCCAGACTTAAAATTTACATTGCGTTGCATGCTCACTTTAAGAACCAACCAAATTGCAGCTTTGTTCTTAGTTCATGTACTTTGAACGCAAGTGGTGTTGAATGGTTTGGTTATGTCATCACAATAATTTTTTATATACACCAATTTGAGTCTGCTTCAAATAGCACTAGTATAGTACTATAAAACAGCTTTAAATCAATCGCCCAAGAGACCAAGATTTTTGGTTTGCTTTTCCATCAATATGGTTTCATCAACAATGTGCATACATACACAACAGTAATAATTAGTGAAATTTTTAACTCAATTAACTGATAGCTATAACTTTTTAATTTAATCTATTGGCTGCACTGACTTATTGAAATAGTCAGGAGTATTAAAATATTTGTTCAACCCCTATATGGATTAGAGTACAGGGTATAAAGAAAACAATTTCTGGTCAACATTTAACCATGTTTAGAATGAAACCCTAACACTGTAAGTAATATAAGAGTGTACCTTTAGGTGGATTGTATCTGTAAGCATTTGACTTAGCCCAGCCAATGGGGTGCAACCTGTGGTTTAGGTAAAACAGCCAGAAGTCATTTGCTGCAGTGTCGGCTCCCTCGAACCTGAGATACAGACGGCCTCCCACATTTTCTATAATTTTAACAAGCCATATCTCCATGGGGTTGATGGGGTGCTGAAGTTCCAGCCGCATTCCCTGCTTTAGCTGGTCGATAGGGGTGATTCCAGTCATCTGAAACAGGCAAATAGTGAAATACATCAAAATACACTCCAAAGTGTAGATATGTTAAATGTAACAGAAGTAGCTTAATGTCATCATATATGAAATGGTGTAATTCATCAAAATACACCTCATGGATATACATGTAGTTTAACTCCCTCATTAACAACACAAAAAGGGGCAATTCATGAATTACATGTTCACTTCATTTTACTTTTGTATTACTACATAAATAAAGGAGGCACGGTAGTCCAGTGGTAGGATGCCGGGCTCGTGACCGAAGGGTTGCGGGTTCGCGCCACGGCACGGCAATGTGTTGTATCTTTGAGCAAGATACTTTACTCTGCTTGTTCCAGTCTACTCAGCTGTAAATGAGTATGTGGTTGGGCAGTGCTAGAATTGTTGATTGCTAGCTGTGAGCGCCGAAATGGCAGCACCGGCTGTATGCTCCCCAGGGAGTTGAGAACGGTATTGGCTGGTTGCACAGCCCCTATAACCACGGATAATAATTTGTGAACCGCTTGGAGACGGCCTACAAACTTGGTTGTGATAAAGCGGTATATAAGAACCTCCAATTATTATAATTATAAATACACAATGCAACAGATCCCAATATTTGATGTGCTTCAGTAAGGAGTTGAACCAAGGATTACCGATTATTAGTCCAGTGCACTAGCAATTGAAAAATACCCAAAGTGTAGATTGTTCACAGCAGTGATATATATTATATCTATATGACTTCCAAACAACATCCACAACTATCAGTTATTTCAGATATCAAACCGGATTTTCATTTGACTTTTATATATTGGTCTCGTTTAAGGATATTTTTCATTTCAGTATCTAGTAATTATATAATTTTTACTATACCATAAAAGCTGTGTGTCAAAGTGTTTACATTCAAATGATATACAGAGGAGTGTTGTAAATCCAGCCACCACTTTTTACTCCAGTGTTTTAGATGACAATTTTTCTTTTCTAAAATGTAATTTATCCTAGTAATCTAGCTGTTCACAATCAAGCTACTTTAGCTATGAACAATTGTAGGCTGGAGTATCAGGGTTACACTTTATACAAACCTTATCCAGAAGGTAGGAAGGGGCTGTTCTGGCCCCTGTGAGGGACTTGACTAAAAACTCCCTCCAGTCCTCAAATTTGTCCTTAATGGCTGAAAACGTATCATTAAAATACAATGTATCTCAATCAAACTAAACAAGTTGACTAAAAACAAATTCATTTTTTCATTCACCCAGTGCAATTTTAATTCCTCGGTTTGGAAAATTTGTGACAAAATAATGTTAATTTTTTAACTTTAATTTTTTCTCTCACTTTTTTCACTACATAGACGGGATATCCCTTTGATCAGCACATTTTAGGAAAAGCACCACTTGAAAGATCATTGTCTAATTAATATTTCCAATACATCCAGGACACAATGTTAACTTAAGATGACGTACATTCAACAATCCTACCTTCTGGAGGTTGCAGTATCTGATTGTTTTGTGCACACCAGCCAATGGGATGGATTTCAGAGGTCATAAGGTCACACCAAAAGTCTGCCGATGTGTCTTCCTCGTATCCATCGTAGCGTAGCCGTAGTAATGGACCACACGTCATGATGACAGAGGCTACCCAGTAGGTGTCTGTATGACACTTGTTGGGAACCTCCAGCTTCATACCCTTCACAAAGCCGCTCTCAAGACTACATTCCACCTGTAAGTAGTAATTAGTCACAATACAAATATTCTCCTGATAAAATTACAATTTCAAACACAACAACAATTCCAAAATAGATCTGTTTAGTATGAATGCATTTTTAGAACTGACTGAAAGTAAATATTAACTTATAAGTGACCCTATATTTAATAATAATATACAATCAAAAAATATTGTAGGCCAGTCAAGAAAATATTCCATTAACCTGGATAAATTATATAAAATAATAGAGACCTATATTTCATTTGAAACCAATTAGTAAATCTCATCTAGAAAATTGTACTTTGGTTTACAACATGCATATGTGCTATATACTGTTTTTTAACCTTTCAAATAATTATTTGACGTACATGTTTAAAGGCTGTTGGAGGAACTGCAGACGCTCCAGTTTCCTGAAGGTATTCTTCCCATACAAACTCGGGCTCAGCATATTCCACAGGTACCCCATCTATATATGTACAATCCATTTAAATAATCGACCTGGTAACAATATAAAATCTGTCATTTTCGTATTTGGCAAGGGTAGCACATGGAGAACTACAAGTTTGTCTTGGTCAAATGTTCCTATTTGTGGATCATTTCCTTTAACTAGATTCAGTAAAATTAAAAGAGCAAACATGTGATGTGCATGTACATTTTTATATTACCAATACGCTTATTCTTATTACAGCTTAGCTAAAACTTCCATCAAACAAAGTTGTAAATTTTGTTACCCACCATAATGTATACTCATGATCAATGACAAATAAGTGGATTTGTCCAGAAATAACAATTTAGTTTAATCTTCTTACTGCATCGTACAGATTAATCGTTGATACAAGAAAACAGCTTTCTTCAGAAGAAAATTAGCAAGATGATATTACTGTACTCTTTAAATGAAAAATAGAATTTATTCATCTGGCTGAAGAAGTTTTTCTTCAAAAATGTTAACAGTTATTTCCCTTTTTAAATTTACAGACATTGTCTGAAATCTAAAGGAAGCAATCTTACCTGCGGTGTAATCAGCAGTGTCAATCTTGTCATACTTGGTACTATTTTGTGAACTAGGTTTATCTCCCTTGGATTCCTTTGTCTCGCTGGGGACATTGGAAGCCGTCTTTTTTGTGGTGCTATCGCCTGCTGATGTTTCCTTAGTTTTTGGGTCCTTTTTGCTTGTTTCTACAACTGGTTTGGCAGTTACCGTAACTGGAGTATTAGGTTTAAAACTAGATTGAGTAACTGGGACTAATATAGGTGGCATGTCTGGAGTATTACATTTGGATGTTGACGGGGTCTTTTTACTCAGGTCAGTTGGCATTTCTGTATCAGTTCCTGGAAAGGACCCTGGCCTGGATGGGATACCATGACTGGCGGGTGATATCGGTGCATTTAGATACTGAATGGGTTGATGTTGAAGAGTTTGCAGTGTGTTTGGACCGCCGGGGGTAGGACCTGCCGTGAACAGTCCCGTGGGAATGCCACTGTTCTGTGTAGTTCCCAGGATTCCTATGCCACCGGGACTACCTGGGACTGAGTTAATGATGGTTGCTTGCTGACCATTGAGAAAGATTGGTTGAAACTGTGTCATGCCCTGCTGAGATGTTGCAAACACTGGACTTTGGCCAGCCATAGTTACATGGAAGATGTTAGAATTAAGTGGCATCCCCATTGATATGGGGGTTGTGGGACTAATAATCTGCTGCATTGCCTGTCCCATTGGCTGACGGAAGGCCCCACTAGGGACCAGATGAGGAATCTGGCCCCCTGGGATTGGTGACTGGACAGTCATTGGGCCCCTCACAGTCCCACCCGGGGACAGCTGTTGATAGAAACTTGCCACTCCTGGATTTGGAGATAAAAGTGGAGAATGGGGGAGTTGTAAGGGACTGGACACAGGACGACTGCCGTGCTGACCTGGATGGTTCTGCACCATGTTCTGTCCCGTCTGGTTCAGCATACCAGTATTGTTTTGTCCAGAATGATTTGAAGGGTTCTGCATCGCATTCTGACTTGGATGGTTCTGCATGGTAGCCTCCTTTATATCCCCACGATCAAAAGAGTGTATCTCGGAGCTTTTTGGTCACAAACACATCACTTCTTCATGAGGTGTACTAGCCAGACAGGGTCAGCTACAAACCCTGATCAGGTGTAGCTCACATCAACTGCTACATCTGTTTGGGATTCTGTAACACAACAACAAAATCTTACATTATAATATGGGAAGCACAGTAGTCTAGTGGTAGGACGGCGGGCTCGTGACCGAAGGGTTGTAGGTTCGAGTCACGGCACTGTGTTGTATCTTTGAGCAAGATACTTTACTCCGCTTGTTCCAGTCTACTCGGCTGTAAATGAGAATGCTAGCTGTTAGCGCCAAAATGGCAGCTCCGGCTGTATGCTCCCCAGGGAGTTGAGAAAGATATTGGCTGGTTGCAAAAGGCCCTATATAACCACGGATAATAATTTGTGAACCGCTTTGAGACAACCTATGAACTAGGTTGTGATAAAGTGGTATTATAAGAACCTCAAATTATCATTATTATTATTAATAAGCTGTCACACAGCTAATGAATTCTTAAGATTGACAGAATGTTGAACTCCTTAATTAATTAATAGTTCATGCTTCTTTCCCAGAGATAACACAGAAAAATATATAGAGAGAGACATTCATGACTATAAACTTCATTATCAACAAGAGGCCCAAGGGCCTTAGCGGTCACCTGAGTTATATCATAGGTACTAGTAGCTTTATTTTATTGTTTAGAAGTGATGTGGAAATCAGCATGTAAACTAAGTGAAATACAATACTTGTCATGTCATCAAAGGATAAGAATTTTAAAATATTTGTAAATGTTCCCTTTGGGGCCCCGCTCTAACCCCTGGGGATGGGGCAGGAATTCCAAGTTTACAATGTGATACCGTCATCCACCAAAGATGATTCTGACCACAGAAAATTGTCAAAATATACCCAAAAGTGTTGTTTCCCTATATAAACTATAGTAAACTTTACCCCCTCCCCAAGGGAGAACGGATAGCTCGGGGGTCCTGAAATTTACAATTTAAATAAAGACCCTGATGATCTTTCCATCCATGCAAAGAAAATGCTGTAGTACCTCTGAGTCTGGAGAAGAAGATTTTTGAAATATTGGTTAATTTTCCCTTTGGGGCCCCGCCCTGGCCCCTAGGATTGGGGTAGGAATTCCAATTTTACAATTTAAAACCATCTTCCTTCAAGGATAATTTTCATCAAGTAAGAATAATTTCCAACAGAAAATTGTAAAAATATACCCAAAAGTGTTATTTCCCTATATAATCTAGAGTAAACTTTACCCCCTCCCCAAGGGAGAACGGATAGCTCGGGGGTCCTAAAATTTACAATTTAAATAAAGACCCTAATGATCTTTCCATCCATGCAAAGAAAATGCTGTAATACCTCTGAGTCTGAAGAAGAAGATTTTTGAAATATTGGTTAATTTTCCCTTTTGGGCCCCACCCTGGCCCCTAGGGTTGGGGTAGGAATCTCAATTTTACAATTTGGTAGCCTCATCTACCAAGGATGATTCTGACCAAAATTCCATCCACTGGTTCTTGAGAAGAATTTGATAATATAAAAAGTTTACGCACGACGGACGACGACGGATGGAAAGTGATTGGAATAGGTCACTTGAGCAAAGCTCAGTTGACCTAAAAATAATCCATGGGCTATAACTCTGTATAACAGACCTTTAATACCTGATCTTTCTTTCACAACTTGAATTTTTTATCCAATCATGATTGATAATCATAGAAATAATGCAAGTACATTGTATGACATTCATGTCATCTGATAAACACTTTTTATTTATTTTCAGAGAAAGTAGTTTCTCCATGATAATTCACAGGCTATTTGAAAATACTTATAATAATATTACAATCATTTTACATTTTGGGATCTCCCTCCCAGTGACAAGGTTTCCCTTTTATATACAACATTTCATTTCCTGGTCTAGATCTCAATGTATTCAACATATTTCAAATGCAAATTTGGTTAAAATGCAATCAGCTGGTCAGTTCTAAAGGGGATTGCATTTAAAGGGTTCGTTTTCAATTTCCTCTTCCAGACATTGCCTTTCTGAGGGGAGATACACTTTTTATACAACATTAATATTTCATTCCTATTATTAAGGTCCCAATGATGCTTTGAAAAGCATATTTGGTGAAGATCCATTTGCATATAAACATATGGTTACAGGAAGGGGCAAGCAATGATATAGAGATATTGCCATACATATATTACAATATTTTTTTAACTAATTGTTTGGGGGTTTAAGCACAGTAGTGATTTTTTTCACATAAATAATTATTAGACTGATTCAGTATAATCAAATTATAAATTAAACTTGATTGGTGTAATAACTTCCAAAACTGAAATAATTTTCAATTTGATATTGAAGCCTGCTGAACTGATGCTCAATTTGTATGCTTACCATTACAAATGCACTGAATTTCTAAGAATACAATATAAAATGTTGTGATAAATTGCAGTATTCCCTAATTAATATAACTACAATATGAAAATTGCTTTTAAAATGTACCCCTTGTCACAGGGCCTGCATTACAACCCTAGGACTAAGTCCATGTGGTGGGGTCAAAGCCCTGGGTCAATCATGATGGCATGAGCAGTATACATGTTTAATTTTTTTTCAAGCCTAGTAATTGCTTGTTATAATTGGTGTTTTTGAATATATTTTTTATTTGGAAGGCTTAGCTTGGTATCAACAATATAATCTGGACCAATATATATAATCAATATCTAATACAACCATGTAAAAACCACTTCAAATAAACAGGAGGCGACTGCCTGTATTCAACTGCCTGTATATCTCTGACATGCATGTAAACCTACACTAGTTAAGTGCCTGCAGCTGTTATACATGCATATATACTTGATCACAAATTAAAGGACTGGATGCAAATTTAATTTAAATTATTGATTACACATATATGGTAGCATACAGATTTTGTAAATATGATATCTTACTCATGCAAAGCTGTTTATTATCTTCGCAGCTCAAACAAAAAATTCAGACATCCATGTCTTGTATTAAACATTATATAATTCATACAAAATGAAGATGTCATCTGCTATTTTATTAAGGATTGCAAAAATAATTGCTTCTGCATTGTGACTTTGGGTATACCCCTTTATATGCATGTCATTTAAATGAGCCTTCACATATTTATTCCAGGTAGATATACAAGCTTGCATGATTAAACACTTTGGTGATTCAAATATCATGTCTAAGCGTGCTTGATTTTCACTATTGTTTATTGAATTATATATAAATATAACTTCAGTTTGAAATATTTCTTTATAGTCTATAAGTTTCTGCATGCACCAGATGATTTACATCAGATCCAGGTATTGTAACAGATCCAAAACAAATAGGTGTCCTTGTCATATTAAAAACACATTGACTTCTTCAGCTAATGGTAATGTTGTATAACACATATCTGATAGGAGGTAAATCAGGAAAAATGCAAACAATATCAAGCTTTAATTTGCTAAAATAGAAAATCTGTATTTCTAATTATATTATAATTTATTTTCTGAAGCACAATATATTATATTATATCAGGTCTGAAATAAGGCTCCCTGTGGTATAGTGTAACCAAAAACTGTATCAATGCATACGCATTGCAAACAAAATTCTATTTCAAGCATAATTATAGCATTGAAAAATCATTTCTGAAAAGAAAACAACATCTTGCACGACTTTTGTGAAAATACCACATAACAAAGATGACAAAAACATCAACAACAGTATAGTATTATGGGTGTAAAAAATGAGCCGAGTCCAGCCAAGGATTCTAACCCCACCCAGACTTCTGATTGATATAATTTTATTGTTATTTCTAGATAATATACCAACAGCTGCTAAACGGTAAAACCCTGGTCCAGTCATGATCACTCTACAGTACTAATATTTTGCAGTAAAGAACATTCTTATTTTTTGCTATATCTTGTGTTTATAATTATGTATAGATATTTTATATGTGAAAAATATTTTTATTTTACCTGCATCAGTAGATATATTTCTTCCTATCCTCAAGTTTACCTCAAGTTTGAAATCAATATGTTTTTGGGAAGAATTTAAAAACATCTCGGTCAATCAGACACCAAGGTCGTCAAAAAGGAAGACCATTTGGTTACAACATCTTAAAGAATATTTGTAACTACTGTAAAATGTCGATCCCTGCAGCCATTCTCAGGAAGTAATCTGAAATGTCTCAGTCAGTCCGAGGCCAGGAGAGCTAACTTGGATTTTTGAATCAGGAGAAGAAATAAGGGATCACGGTCAACCTGTAGCCCCATGCAGAACCAAATTATTACAGCTAATCTGACATCAAGAAATGAAAAATAACCTGGCCGATCAGAGGCTAGTGTAGTAATCTTTGTAACACTTTATAATGACCTGATCAGACATGGAACATTTTTACACTGATCATGAATTTGGGCTTAAATGCAACTGTCATTCTTGAGCAAAACTATGAAAATATCCCAGGAAACCAGAGGCAAAGGCATGTGCAGCCATCTTAGTTCTATTGATCAGAAATAAAAGTTGTATATACACTTGGTAATTACTAAGCCAATCAGAAGGCAGGGTGGCCATTTTGGATTTTTAAATCAGCAGCCTAAAAGGTATTTCTAGCTACAATGACTTTTTGTCACCGTTTCCTTTTTCTGGTCTCAACGTCCCATATCTTCACCAGAATCATACTTGAATTAGAAATATGTCAGAATGAAATGAAAGTCATCCCATCATTCTGTATGATCATTAACCGATAAATCATTGACCAAGCTACAACGGATATATGTCCACCTGTCAATCACAATGGTAAACAACGTCTTCCTTGAAAAAAATTCTTCCTCACATGAAAGAAATGTTTAAAGTTTGATAAAGCATGCACAACTTTTCAACATAAATATTTTGAACTGCAGAAATCAAGGTACCAACAGATTTCCTCGTATAACTGATAAATCCAGTAAATTTTTCTGTAAATAATCTGAAAATTGTGTGTATATTGATTGGTCCCTGGAAAAAATATGTAAACAAGTCAGCGCAAAGTGTCACTGTGTGTAACATGCAAATAGAGAAAGTAACACATGCACACAGCCATGAAACTAAATGGCCACACATGTATGTATATATAGCTGTTGTAGCTGTAACAAAGATGAAATACTTATGTAAAGTGCTTTTATTTTGCAAGGGTTTATATTTAGCTATATTCGCCATTTGCTTTCAAAGCCGAACTCAAAACCCAAGCGAAACTTTTGACTATTGGTCTGCCATTTGTTAATCATATATCAATATCAAGAACGAATTATAACAAGGCACTTGAACTTCCTATTGTGTTAATAACATAGGCATGATTTTGTTTTCTTTTTTAATTCACACATAAAAAGCACAGTTTGTTTCTATATCGTAATTCCAACATTTTACGTACATGAATGAAAAGGCAAAAATTTGACACCGTGAAATTTAAGCACTTAACAGTAGCTTATATTACAACTGATCTTTATAGCTTATTAATTAGTCCCTCTTACACGTAAATGATTATTAATTAGTCCCTTTTACACGTATATGCTTCTTAATTAGTCCCTCTTACACGCATAAGCTTATTAATTAGTCCCTCTTACATGTATATATATGCTTATTAATTAGTCCCTCTTACACATATATGCTTATAAATTAGTACCTCTTACATGTATATGCTTATTAATTAGTCCCTCTTACATGTATATGCTTATTAATTAGTCCCTCTTACACGTATATGATTATTAATTAGTCCCTCTTACATGTATATGATAAATAATTAGTCCCTCTTACACGTATATGCTTATTAATTAGTCCCTCTTACATGTATATGATAATTAATTAGTCCCTCTTACACGTATGTGCTTATTAATTAGTCCCTCTTACACGTATATGCTTATTAATTAGTCTCTCTTACACGTATAAGCTTATTAATTAGTCCCTCTTACACGTATAAGCTTATTAATTAGTCCCTCTTACATGTATATATACAAATTCCAAGCTGGCCTCATGACAATTTTATTTTTGATTCCTCAAGTTTGAGACAGACACAATTAAGGCATAAATGGGATCATGTAAAACCAGGTTTTATCATGATCTCTTTAGTTGTTCCTGAGAAATAGAAGAAACAAAACTTGCTGCAAAATTCAAGATGGCTGTCTTGTGGCCATTTAGTTTTTTCCTATCCATAACAAATTGAAGCTTGGAAAACTAGGGACAATAATAGGGATTAGCAAACTAATGATGGTGTTTGGCTTAAACTGGAATTTGTAATAATAACATATGTTCATACAATAAAATATTTGTGTTGTTTCATGATATTTAAACAAGGAAGTTTTGAAAAAAAAAAAAGAAAAAAAACAAGGTTTGACAACTTTTGCATAATTTTTCTTATGTAGAAGGAAACATACCAAAACAAATTTCAAAATTTTAAGTGCAGTCACTAGACATGTGTAGCGGTCATTCAGACTTTGATAAAAAAAACAACTGCAATATTGAATAGCGTAATTAACTGATTGAGAAAGTCAGTTAACTGCAGTGTGACCAAGTATGTCAAAGCTATATTTTATCTTTTATTGAGCATATTTAAATAAATACAAATAAATACATGCAATTTGGGAAATGTTTTGTATCTCGATGCAAATATAACAGTATCAAACAAACAAAAATAAAAAAAACTCACAATCAAAAAAACACAACATCTATAGTTAAAAACCACTGCAGTTCTTCACATTCACACACTTTAAATTGAATATGGGTTTTTTTATTCATTAAGCTCTGGGGGTTTTCAAAATGTTTAATCGATTGTATATTTGCTGAAAAATCTACACAAAATATATTTTTACTTTGAAAAAAGATTTGTTTTCACACTGCAATGAATATCAGGAGAAAAATAAGAAGAATAAAATTGCAGATACACCTACCAATCAGTCAAAACAACTAATTTGTTCTTGAAAATGATAAAAAAAAATAGGTTTTATGTTTTGATAACTTATAGTACATTTTCTAATTATAGATATTATATATTTTCCAACATATTCATTTAATTAAAATTAAATCTATATGTTAATATTATAATTAACATAAGGTAAATATTTCTATATAAATAAAAGCAAAATATAAACATAACTGAAAAATCTTCCGATAAACCTGCCACAGTCAAGCAATCAAATTATGTCATAATCATACATTTTGCAAGGTCATTGAACATGTACATTTTCATATTGAAAATAGTAAATTTTACAATTGTAATGTTTAAAACTAATTGAAAACACTTCCAAATAAACCATTTCAACAAAAACTGTATTGAATAAAAGAAATACTTGCCATTGAGAATTATTTTAACTGTAATAATTACCGTTTCTTCTTCTCCGGTACGCTGTAAACAAATTATAATGTCCGCTCTCCTGAAAACGGTTCTAAAAATAGAACTTAGAACACCGCAAACTAAGCTATGCATTTTCCAAGATAAAAACTCTTTTCGCTTATTAAAAATACAACAAATGATAACAAAGTGTGCATCATAATTGCTGAAAGCTTTTCCGAGGTGCATGCATGAACGCAAAATATTTGTCTTATAGAAATTTGCAATGAAACATGTCGATAAGCATCCCTGTTTTACCACTGAAAAGGGTCATGAATATGTATAACCCGAAAGAAGCAGCGAGATCGAAATATGACATGCTTATTCCGTGACGAAAGCACAAAAAATCACAGGAAAAAATACAGTAACACATGCACCTGACACTATAAATGATCAGAATTAAAAGAAAAATTACTTACATTCGTTTTATCATCATATTTGAGAAGGAAAAAGATCAGTTTTCCTTTCCAACTTCCACATTCAAGATGGCAACTAGCAGGTACTCTACGCATGCGCAGCGTAATATATACAGTTTCTATCCTAATTCGGAAAATATAAATGTGACGGACATAGAGATGAGGAAATTCATCGAAAAGATGTTAATTGGTGTATAACGAACACAAATTCTCGAAGAACATCAATTCATTTTTCGTATTTGTCTTCTTTCGCAGCAAAGCAGAGTTTTGAAAAAATTGCATTTTTTTTTACACATTTGGATTGCCTCGGAGTTCTTCATAGGGTCAAACATGACTCAAGAGAATTTTTATTGGGAAGCTATGCGCATGTCAGATTCTAACACATGGTGCTGCTTCCTGTTTAGAGAAAGATGTAGTGTATTGTGTATTGGATGATAATTGATTATTTGATAAACAGGTTAACACATATCAAATCAATGTCATGGCAAATAAGGCGACACGTTATCATTATATATATTTTGACGATATGAAAGGTTAATAACTTCTGAGTGTACGACTGACTCATCTGCTTTCAGCTCGATGACAGATCTGATGTTTGACAGATCGTCGTGTGTCGAGTGTATGGACTGAATAATGTCGTTCGTAGCAACGAATTCTAATTTAAACCACAGTGATCTTTTAAACGAGAACCGCATAAAAATGGATGACCATTGCAACACAGGAGATTTGATGGGGCCTCTGGGACTGCTGGTGCAAGCTGTTTTGGCCTTTCTAGCCTTCACTTCACTCATAGGTAATTTGTGTTTACTCGCAACGAAATTTTGTAAATAGCTGTGTTATGTGTCACTTACATAGGTGTTGTTATTTAAATAAGTAAACTTGAACATTTTTCTTTAAACAGTCAAACTATTTAATGGTTGATGACCAAAATTGCAAAACCAAGTGTTGCAATTTACATTTATTTTCCAGAAAAGGGGAGTGGCATTTAACACCCCCTTGTGCATTTTGTACATACTCTAGAGGTTTCCCAACGAGTGGCGGTTGGTTATCATGTTTATCTAACTCAAGTTAGTTAATCTGCGAATTGTACAAAGACACAAGGTAACACTGTAATGGTAACTGGTTGACAGATGTCAGAACAGTGAAAGATGTAGATGTACAGAGTGTCTTTTGCGACTTGAAAATTAACTAACGAGAGTTGACCAATGAAATCACGTCCAGGATATTACCCATTTTTTTTTTACCAGCTCCTTGTACGAAATATTCTGACGTTTTATCGACTTTTTTTATATCGCTCTGTCGTCGAAATTAACGTCAGAACTCCGGCCCTCTTTAATATGAGGGAAATAAGCGACCCACGCCTGGGTCCAAACATATTTTAGAAACAAATTGTCACTTTCACACACATGTTGCACATTGATCGAATATGACATTATGCAATATACTGAAGAAATTAATATTCCTGGCATGCTATTAATGATTGATTTTGAAAAAGCTTTTGATTCTGTTTCTTGGAAATTTATTGATGAAGATCTCAGGTTTTTTNGATTTTGATAGTGAAAGTTTATTATCGCTATTTCTCAGGAAATACCCAAGGGATCTTTCTCAAATTTGATATCTAGGTTCCCCTTGGTACTAAGCTGTGCAGGTCAACTTTTGAGACGGATTGGATAAACATCATGGGTGACAGGCAGCCATCTTTGATTTTGATAGTGAAAGTTTGTTATCACTATTTCTTTGGAAGTACCAATTTTTTTTTTACCAGCTCCTTGTACGAAATATTCTGACGTTTTATCGACTTTTTTTATATCGCTCTGTCGTCGAAATTAACGTCAGAACTCCGGCCCTCTTTAATATGAGGGAAATAAGCGACCCACGCCTGGGTCCAAACATATTTTAGAAACAAATTGTCACTTTCACACACATGTTGCACATTGATCGAATATGACATTATGCAATATACTGAAGAAATTAATATTCCTGGCATGCTATTAATGATTGATTTTGAAAAAGCTTTTGATTCTGTTTCTTGGAAATTTATTGATGAAGATCTCAGGTTTTTTAAATTTGGAAATGGATAAAAGTTTTACATAGAAAAGACAGTTCTGTTATAAATCAGGGGGGCGAATTTGTCTGCTTTTTTTTCGAAATTAAACGCGGTTGTTNAGGAATAACTTGAGAGATTTTTCTCAAATTTGATATGTAGGTTCCCCTTGATCCCTCGTTTAGATCAAAAGTTACTTCAAGGTGCATTTACTGTTAACATGACTCGATCAAACAGATTAGAGGGAAAAAGAGAAAAGATCGAACTGACAAAGAACTAATGAAGATGGTACAGTGGTGGGCGCCAAGATCCCTCTGGGATCTCTTGTTTGTTTTCTTACCAGCTTCCTTTTCTTTCCTTTTATCCTTCCTTCTTCCTTATAGCAATACAGTGCAATGTGATATTAAATGAAATAAAACCTATCAATATGCAGTCTTTAGTGATACAAATTTCTTTTGGCATAATTTGTATGGTATGAGTGGTGATATGAAAGATGATTGGTGACAATTTTTTTATATGATCTGAATGAATTACTGATCCATTATTATTGTCACTGTATTGAAAAAAACTCTTTTGAAAATAAATAAAAATATATATAAAAAAAATGAAAAAATTCACACAAAAGGTAGAGCACACCTGTGACATATACATTTATTTCAATTCACACATAGAACATGAATAAATATAGCTATAAATAAAAGTAGCAATCAATAAAAGTAGCTATAATTGAGACATCTATAAATGTACTTTCACATAATGACATATTTCTGAAATTATAAATAATCGTGATAATGTACGGTCTGGATCCATACCCATAATAACTAATACTTGGGTGAACACTGCAAGTAGTAGGCTTAACTTACGTAAGCATTTGATTCACACGTACTTACACAATTCTTAATTCAACCACCTCTGGGAGATGTTACACTAATAATTTAAAGGTCTTCTATACCATATCCATTAGCCCCCAAAAATGACAAATATTAAGTTAATGGAGGTGCCTACCATCAACGGTTCAGATACAAGGTCATGCATAAAAGCGTAAGATATGCCTGGCAACTCAAGAATTGTAAGATCACTCTTTTTTATGTTGGATATATTTTTTAGAAACCATTATAAATAAATATTATAAAATTACCATTAACATTTAATTCTTTTTGTTGTACTTCCAGTAAAAAGATATTGTGAGCCAAAATATGAACGTAGACCTTGGAAGATCTGGTAAGTGTTTAATTAGCTCACTTGATTCAAATACCTGAGTTTAAGATGGCATGTGGTCTCTTTCATCAGAATGTTTTTTCAACATCTTCTTCTAAAGAACCATAAATATAGGATCATGACATTACAAGTTTCTTTTGCTTGCAGGATTAAATGTATTTTGATTCAAAATGTTCCATGAATCCATTCACTTTATCGGGACATGACGGCGTCTAGATTAATGACGCTTTGTATGTAGATATTACAGCTGGTCATTATTAAACCAGATATTTAATACATGTTTTCACTGTAGAGAAGCAAGCCATTTTTGTTTGGTGTATGTTTATGACTTAAGACATATATAATATGTTTCTTGATGCATTTGCCTTATGTATTGCAAGTACATCAGTTTGATGTAAAGGATGTAAAAAAACATAAATAGTTCAACATTGAAACTTCAGTGTAATTCAACAGATGAACATACAGGCAAAGTTAACCTTGATCATGACTTTTCAGGGCTTTTGATACATCAAAACAGGCTTTAGGAGCTATGGTCATCCATTTTGCCAACATCCTCCTGGCAGATATTTTCCAAGGAGATCCATGTACATGGTAAGTCTTTGTGTATAAATTAATCATACAATTTTTTGAAAAATTGAAATCTGGGTAAAAAAATACATATTAATTAATCTTTGGTGGATAAAGATTTCAGACTTTCATAAGGCTCAATATTGTAAGATTCTTATAAAATATACTGTGTTCCGTGTACCAAGGGAGATTATCTCTTGAGTCCAAGATGGCTTTCCGCCAGAATCGTCGATCTTTTTATGAAAAAATCCCTTTAAATTGCTTATGCTTATGTATTTTGCGCACCCCCCACTTTGGGCATTAAATTTCTCAAAAAAAAGTGCGCAAATTACACAAGTTTTTACGGTTAATTTATTTTTTGCCATTCCAGGTACTTTATAAGTTTTATGCTGGACTCCACCATAGGGCTATTTGTGGTATACCTAGGTTTAAAAATGACCCAAATTATTGTCAAAAAATACAATTACCAGTCACTCAAGTTTGGAGAATATGGTAAGTTTTGTTTCTTTTTCCGGTAGTAAATTTTTCCCCTTTAACATTATGTTATAATTCTATTCAGTCCATGTTAAATGAGATGAACATCTATATTCACCATTTAGAAAACATAATGGCATTCTCTGAGTTGAGCGATTTTGGTAAAATATTGAAACATGCGTTTAAAAACACCTATTGAAGTGGTAGGCAGTGTGTGATGTTTTATATTTGTATTTGTATGTAACTATTTTACAATGTGTATAATTTTGAAATGATAACAGTGTGTAGAATACATACACTAATTTTACATTTTATGGATTTTTTGTATGGATGTTGTTACAGGCAGTCCTCCGGAGTGTAATGCCTGGGTGGGACAGTGCGGACTGTATATCTTGGTCATGATCATTGAAAAGTTCCTCATGACCCTCCTGGTACAGTTTGACTTCTGGAAAGATGTAAGTATAAAAACCTCTGTCAGTCTGTATTTTAATACTAAGGTAGTTACTAATACTTCTCTTTAATTGGAGATCAGAATGTGCTTTCTGTCAATAAAATAGTTTACAGTACCTTATAGTATTAGAAAGAAAGGTAACCTCTCATTGTTGTAAAATGTTTAGATTATTGCAGACATGAATAATTTTTGTTTTCGAATACTAGCCCAAGGGCATATCTAAAAAAAAAATCTCAAGCCCTACCTGTATTTTCATTGTGGCTATATATTAGCTATTGGAATTGAAAGCCCTTGATTGATTTTCAAACAATTGATACACTTTCGAACGTAATGCTTTATTCTGCTTGAACTACAGTAATGCTTTAAATTTTTGTTCCAGTAAGTTGATCAAGACATGAATATTTAATGGTTCTTTAATTGAGATTTTGCTTGAATCAATTCCATTTTGTTGCTGGATTGAGCAGTCCTTAAGGGGAGATAATCCCAGTTTAATTTTCCAAGTAGGTGTAATAATGTTATGTTTTGGTTTTAGTTTTGTTTTATTTTGTTTAACGTCCTATAAACAGCTAAGATCATTTAAGGACGTATATGGTAAATACATTTCTAATATCAATGCGGATTAAGATTGACTCTAAAAGGCTTTTTCTGGGGTCTTTATGGGCCGATAGTTTGTCCAGTTCCCATTGAAACTATTTCATATTTATGCCTCATTCTCAAAATTTGAAGTTTACTCCTGACATTTCCTTCCCAGTTGTTAAATTGTCTTTCTAAAATGATACAAAAAGGTCCCATCCCAAATTATTGGGGAAAGAAACCTGCTTTGTTCATCTATTAGCTCGCCTGTTCGAAGAACAGAGAGCTATAGCGATACCCCTGGCGTGGGTATAATATTGATGTAGTGATGTGAAATTAAAAAATAATTCCTCAAATTTTGAAATTGTTTTACCTGTTTTGTACTTAACTTTTTTGAAGGACTTCCAACCCTTCGTAATACAAATGTTTTTCTTGTCGTACTTTCGTGTCGTCATTTCCGTATTGCGTATCGGGCATTCCATTACCGTAGTGTAAATTATAGTAACACCGGGTAAACAATAGTACACATGTGTGACGATGATATGTCAACACTCGATATTGAGACTTAACTTGGAAATATGTAATCACACGTACTTCAGAAATAAAGCTTATGATACAAAGTTATTAATTAACTCCACTTAAGACACTGACATACGATCAGATGACTTCAAGAAGGTCGTATATGAGGCGCATGGAATGCAGACTGATGTTTTTGTTTACCGACCTCACCTGTACGTAACACGTGCTAAGAGTAGTTCACAAGCTCTTGGTCGCTACGACTTTTGTTGTCGAGCGAGTTACGCTCTGTCAGATAAATCGTTTCACAAATGGAATAACAATAATTCTGTAAAAATAGTGGTTTATGAAATATAAAGATACCTATAAAATGCAAGTGCATGTGCGTGCACGTGATAACGACATACCATCCAATAGTCTATGGTTACATATGTACCTGACATGTAAATTTACCATGCTTAAGCGGGCTATGGAATGATGTCCAAAGTGAACATGATTGAGAGTAATTTTGTTCCATAAAAGAACAGTAAATTGATGATTAAATATATTAATTTGATTTATTTCTGTCGTTTTTGGTATAGTAAAGAAAATAAGTGTCATTGTATAAATTCTATCCCTCTGCAAAAAGTTCAAACAGTAAATTGACGATTAAATATATTAATTTGATTAATTTTTTCTGTCGTTTTTGGTATAGTAAAGAAAATAAGTGTCATTGTATAAATTCTATCCCTCTGCAAAAAGTTCCGGTTTTTTTAAAGGTAGACAACTCTCATCAGGATCAAAATGATTGTAAAATGTAAAATAAATTGATTATGAAGACTTTGTGTGAATTTGGTTCAATTTTTCACTCTTTTTGAAACGATGTGTCCTGTATGCTTTTAGCTTGTATTTAGTAACTTTTATTCATACAATTTCAATAAAAATAAGGCTTTTTGTAACTTGTTGTAGATATTTTATGATAAATAAAATATTTGTAGGGTTGATAAGCAATGTTTCTTTTCATTATTTTATTGTTGTAATAGTTTTGAACAATGCCACATACTCAATAAATGTGAAAGTGTTAATTTGACAAAAAATCTTTTTTTTTTTGGTATTTTTTTACAAAAAAAAATCCGCAGTTTATCAGAATGCTTAGATTTTCATAAAATCATCTCTGCATAGTGACATACCCATTATGTGAAACTTTCATTGAATTCTGCTGACTAATTGCGAAAGGGTAGAGCCATCGCACATCAACGTTAAAGTTTTACCTGCAAGTTATTTAGACGCTTGTCATTCATTAAATTTGTGTACTACGATGCTGATATTTGGCATTGAGGTTCCTGTGGGGTAAAATATTGATTAAGTGAAGTTAAAATTATAAAATAATTTCAATTTTTTAGACTTTTGACCTGTTTTGAACTTTACATTTTTTACAAAGAAATTTTTAAATACGGGGAAAAAAACTGGCGAGCATTTGGCGGCTTTGACACCATCTCTGGTTGTGATAATGATACTGTGATTAACAGACTGTAATTTTGTGTTTTTCTGTCTGTAGGTGTGATTAACAGACTGTAATTTTGTGTGTTTCTGTCTGTAGGTGTGATTAACAGACTGTAATTGTGTATTTATGTCTGTAGGTGTGCTTAACAGACTGTAAGTGTGTGTTTCTATCTGTAGGTGTGATTAACAGACTGTAACTGTGTGTTTCTGTCTGTAGGTGTGATTAACAGACTGTAATTGTGTGTTTCTGTCTGTAGGTGCGATTAACAGACTGTAATTGTGTGTTTCTGTCTGTAGGTGTGGCTAACAGACTATAATTGTGTGTTTCTGCCTGTAGGTGCGATTAACAGACTGTAATTTTGTGTTTCTGTCTGTAGGTGTGGCTAACAGACTATAATTGTGTGTTTCTGTCTGTAGGTGTGATTAACAGACT